AAAAAAAAAAAACAGTCATTAATCAAGATAGGCAACACCTCAAGAAACAGAGTTTACATTGGACAAGCACATGCTCCTAGAATTTACCTCTAATCCGGCAAACAGCTTGTTTGCATCGTCACTGGCCAAGCTATGAACTAGCCCAGATGGAGCATCAAGAGAAAACTCAAATTGCTTTTGGATGTTCCATGCCTGCACGAACGGGAAAAATAAGGCAACAATATGATAAAGGGACTGAAAACTACACCAAACCGCGTGACATAGTTCACGACTATAACTGGAACCAATTCATACCTGCACTCTATTTTGCAGTCCGACTAATACCCATTGGCCTTCAGATAATAAGCACCCGGTCTCCTCATCAGTTGTTAAGGTACCCGCACACTGAATCACACATAACATATAAATAACAAACCATTTGCACAAAACTTGAAGTTTCATAATTCCAAAACTCACGAAATTCCAACCTGTCCGCTGTGGCAGTTCCAAGCTCGAATCGATCGGTCCTTGGCACATGAATATAACTTGTCACAGCCGAACGGGAGGGAAATTCCGCTAATGCCCTAAGAAAAATTATTTTATATACATCTCAATTAGTACAACCAATAAAACAAAATTACGGCTACATTATATGCACATCCTTTTAAACAACAAGTACCTTGGTATGATCTTCCAACTTTGCCAACATCGTAAATCCAGAACCACTAAACCAAGAGTGTACATACTTGCATCTATCTCCACGCACACAATTTCCCATAACCCAGTACTCGCATTGTGCTAGCTGATTTTTCTCGAAACCAGACTTTTCAGATTTAGCAATGGCCGGCTCATGATGTACGGAACCTTTCTTGATAGCATCATCCATTACCTCCCGTGAGCTTCTCTTTTTACTTATTGTGCCGTTAGTGTATGTTTCATTACTTTCAACAGTTTTGTGGCTGTGGAGTTTCGGATTCTTCCATGTCATCTTTCTTGGAGGCACTTTTCCAGATTGCTTCGATTTAGGTTGGCCACTCTTCTGCTCACAGTGCAGAAACCGACACGGGTTCTTATTGCACCTTCCGGCAAGCCAATAGGTGCAAATAACGTTCTTCTGGCCTATTGATTGGTCAAACACGGCTACCTTCCTTGCCATCGAGACCTCCATTAACTTAAAACTAAACCAAAATATCATAATAAAACAATCAGATACAGATCCCGGTCTCTCCACCATGTTAAATTCCTAAAAAAAACTCCTAAGTCAGCAAAAATCCACCATAAACGTAAATCTCGTGTCCAAATCCAGAACTATCCCGCGACAACTCAGAGCCGCCAAAAGTCACACACAAAACTCCTAGAAATCCAACATACTTCTGGTTGAAGTCAAGACAATCACAATGCTTCATCAGAGCCAAGATCATAACTTTCCATAATATGCATACCAGAAAACCCACAACCGTGCGGAATATCAACGGAGCCCATTAGAACCACGCGCGTGGCAGAAATTACTCTAATCAAATCGCGATAGCACAAAAGAGTAAATGCTGATAAAACCTAGATAATCCGACAAAACAAAAACTTGAACAAGGAAACCCTAAATTCCCAGGAACTCAAGCATAGCCACAATTGATCCGACGAAGCCGATCCGACCATGGCCGATAGTAGAAAACCCATCGATCGCGATGAATCGGTTGAACAAATCAACAAATCAAAAGCCCGCTACAAAACAAAAGCAGAAAGCAGCAAACCTGATGATACTGAAAGCGAGACTAATCTCCTTCGATCGAAAAAAGGAAAGGTTAAATTGAACTGCGATGAAGAACACAATTGGAACAGACAATGTTGTGGCCTTGTGGGAGACGGGAAGGTTTAGGGTATGTTTGGTTCAACGGAGGGGAGGGGAGGGGAGGGATTTTAATGGAAGGAAGGGGAGGGGAGGGGAGGTGATGTAAAATAATTTTACCTTGTTTGGAAGAATTTTGTAGGAGGGGAATGAAGGGAAAATGGTAAACCTTGTTTGGTTACAAAAATGGAGGGGAAAGAAAATATTGTAAAAATGACAGTTATACCCTTAATGATGTATGATATAAAAAATAAAATAATTCACATGAGAAGGATAAAAGAGTAATTTTATGTTCCAAATTTTCCCTCCCCTCCAAATTCCCCCACTTTTGGAGGGGAGTCTATTTTCCCTTGTAGGAGGGATTTGAAGGGAAAATCCTAGCCCCTCCCCCTCCAAAAAATTGAACCAAACAAGAGAAAAATAAAAAAGTCCCTCCCCTCCCCTCCCTTCCCCTCCTTTTCCCTCAAACCAAACACTAGCTTAAGGTTGTGTTCTTTAAAGCTGTGTTTTCTCGTTATATATAGAAACCCGAGACCGCGTGGCTTTTGCTTATTGGTTATTACAAGTCGAATATTTTGGATGTTTGGCATAACGACCCCTAGAATTAACCTTGTTTTGCAGATTCTTAAAATTTTGGTAGTTTATTTTAGTCAAAATAATTGGTTATATCACGATATTTTATCAAATTGTGAAAACATCACGACTTTTACGTATTGGTGTAAAATATCATGATATTTGATTTCTTTGCAAAGCGATACATTGAGTCAGAAATCGACCATCGGAGCATCGTGTCAGACCAACCTTTTATTACAAGAAATTAAAATCTGATGTGTATATACTTGTCTCACGTGTAGAATGACATGGAAAATGAGTATAAGTAGTTGAATTCCTCCCTCAATTCTCTTCTCTCCCTCACCCAATTCGCTCTTATTTGACTCTAATTACCTTTGTCCCCCAATTCTCTCGGCACCCCAGCCACGCAAACAGTGTACTGGCAGTTGCCGAGCGACGGCCGCACCAGGCGCACGATGACCCCTCGACTAAGAGCACGTCGTAGAAGTCCTTTGCCATGCAAAGGTCGGGGGCGCCGTCGATAGTGAACTCCACTAGGTTGACCAGGGGCGAAGCCAGAAATTTTGGTTGTTAGGGTCGGGGGGTCTTACACGGTGTCTTATATAAATCCGCCCCTGCTGCTGGGGTCTTATTATTTTTTTAATGGGGTCTTACACGGTGAAATTTTGTTACGTACAAGTGGTTCAACGCAAAGCGTCGGTGTCGGATGACCCCAACCACTGAACGTAGCTTCGCCACTGAGGTTGACCGTAGCGGCCTCGCCTGCACACCAAAGCTTGTCGGGGCAATCCCTAATCGTGAAGTTGCTACTAGCGGCGCGTCGAAAGAGCATTCAGTCCGGGCCCAAACGTGGTTGGACTTTATTTCACCGCCCGAGCCATCTCCAAAATCCTCGCGCTCGGTGAAGAGGGTGTCCCATTTCGGCGAGCCCGAGGGCAATATCTCAAGGTGCATTGAACGAGCCAACCTTTTTTGGCCGAGCTCGCAATCATTTTTCTTGTTTCTGTTGTAGGTTTGCCTTCTCTTGGAGTATCACTTGTTGTGAGTTGTCTCACATTGATTCTATAGGGAAAATGAGCCTAGTATATAAGCCAAGTGGGCTACTCTTCCTATCACCAATTTGTTTTGGGATGAAACCTCACTATGGTGCACCTAGGCTCGCCCTCTTATGGCGCGCTTAATATGCGTGGGACCGCGCTCTCTTGCCCCAATTCTCTAATCTTACATGGTATCAGAGCCAGGCCGACTCATGCCTGTGTTTCTATCTCTACCCGGCCAACTTCGGCCAGGGTCTCTATCTCTACCCGGCCTGCTCTGGGCTTGGGCTTACGAAGGACTCACAAGTGAGGAGGCGTGTTAGAGTATCATTTGTGAGTTGTCTCACATTGATTCTATAGGAAAAATGAGACTAGTATATAAGCCAAGTGGGCTACTCCTCCTATCACTAATTGGTTTTGGGATAGAACCTCACTGTGGTGCACCTAGACTCACCCTCTTATGGTGCGGTTAATATACGTGGGACCGCACTCTCTTGCCCCAGTTCTCTAATCCTACACCTTCTCATCATCATTCAAGGCTAAAGGCTAGATTTTTATGGGGCTCGGATGCCTTTTCGCCATTGACACGGCCAGAACTCTACCAAATCGTGCAAAGTAAAAATCAGAACATAAAAGGTGAGAAAGATCAAAGAAAGAGAAATGAGTCAATATTGTAATTTGGTGTAGAGACTGAGGTAATGGTGGATTGTCATAAGGGAAAAGATGCCATGGGAAGTAAAGGAAGAGTGGGCGTGGTGCTCGTGTGTTTTTCACTTCGGATGAAAAGAGACAGAAATAGTGGACTTTGTTGGCTTTATTATAATTCATACAGGTTTTCCATGTCAACATCCACGTCGAATTAAGTTTTACACATAAGATTTTTAATTCCACATAGTAAAAGATTGGTCGGACGCGTAGGAATCGATGACCGATTTCTGAATTTGATGCAACTTTTTGTAAATAAATTAAAGGTCATAATATTCTGCTCCAAAGTGTATAAGTCGTGATGTTTTTTGCAATTTGAGAATAAATCATTATATAATGAACCCTTATTTTATTTCCTACCACTAGAGATGTAAAGGAGTCGATTCAAGTTTAGGTTTTTGGCACTCTAACTCAAAGTTGAGCCTTTATTAAGCAACACTCTTTATCAAGTCGCTTATGTCTCGATAAATTGTGCTAAGTAAAAGTCATAGGAATTAAATTAAAACTTATAATTTTGAACATTAAAGTAGTTAAGTTTGACTTTTAAATTGAATATACTTGAGATTCATATATCAAACTCGTCGAACTGAAATCAAATCTTAACAAACCGAGTTCATTAACGGTTTAGTTTGTTTAACAACTTTACTGTCACGTCAAATTTATTTCCTAATTTATGTTTATAAGATAATTTTAAATTAAATTTAGATGGCAAATAGTACCTTAAATTGTATGCATTTGGTAGTTTTATAGAGAAGCAATCTGACTTAGTTTACTCATAGGACGTGCCTGATGTAATAATAATAATAATAATAATAATAATAATAATAATAATAATAATAATAATCTTTAAATATTCTTGTTAAATATGTTCCAATCATCTGCAATAAAAAAAAATTGATTTATTTTTGTTTTTCTGGTTTATTTATTATGTATTTATCTGGGTATGCACAATGTTTCACATGTTCCTTCTACTCTTGATTCAAAAATAAAAAAATAGAGCTCATAGCATATTTGCTGAACAAATTTAACCATAAATGAGATCCCACCTTTATACTAATAAGATTAGAAACATCATTTAGTTAAAGATCTGAACTAAATTTCTGCTGCATACTACAAAACGCAGGGCCTTCCACAAAAAAAAAAAAAAAAAAAAAAAAAAAAAAAAAAAAACATAAGTGCACTAAACCTGCAAATTTGAAAAGCTAAAGTTATAGTGTTCAGACCAAAGGCTTCTTTTCTTCATCATCCTCTTCTTGTCCTAATTCAAACCTTCTATCTTCGCTTTGTGACGATGAACTTTCAATCCTGGGCCTCGAATTCAAGGCTGCGGGACTTTTGCTCGGCTTGCTATCGGGCAACATTTTCAGTATAATCCCCATTGCAATCAACAAAAGCCCAGTCCCATGTTGCTCGGTCAAAGGTTTCGTAAAGATCATGTATGAAAGCAGTAAGGTTACTGCCTTCCTAGCCGTTGTCACCTGATATTTTTTCAATATCCATTAAATATTAAACAAATATAAAATATACAAAACGAGTCGTAACTATTTACGACTTTTCGATATTCAATTTTATTACCATAGCTGTGGTGGCAGCACCAAACAATGCGATGAGTGAAAGAACCGAAACTTGTCCAATAAAGGTGGCCATGGCTTCAAAAACCAGAACTCCGTACACATACAGATGCTTCATTCGAAAGTGGGTAAAATATAACTGTAACGGCTTAAACACAAACTAGCCCGAAAAATAACCAAGTGTTTTTTACTTTTTAATGTATACCTGCGAACACGAGTCCCAGGCCTTAAACAGTTCTCCAGTAACTAGCATAGGTGGAATCAAGAAAGGCATGCCTACCAAAGTCGAGCAAAAAAGCATTTCTGTCTGCATGACAAAATTTACAAATTATTTTCGAGCTGTTTGCAAGTTAATAATATTTTGTCAAAACACTGCTGCTTGTATACTTTCGGGTCATCTTCGCTTCAGCAGTTTATCATCATCATCCAAAGCAACAGAAAATTAGAAAAGAAAAAAGCAATATAAATGTATGTTCTGTTCTACCTGTGTTGTTTCAGGATTCAATGTAAAGATAGCTTCTTGTAAATTTCCTAAGAATGCATCCATAATCAATGCACCAGATACCATAAAGACCCCAATTCCGCTGAAATTTGGAGAAGTTTGGGCATCGGCCAAGGTGAAAAGAATAAGGCCGATCACCAAAAGGATAGCCGAAACATATTCATGAGGAGGGTATTTACGTCTTAAACCCGGAATAAAAGCCCCCATGATCATGACAGGCAAAACCTGATATTCATTCAGCCATTAAAAGCAGCAAATGAGATAAAAAAAGAAAAGAGGAATAAAATGCAGTGCACGATAAAATAATTGTTTTACTGCATTATTACTTAATCCTACGATGTTACTCATTAATCTAAACCTAAAGGATAAATATGTAGTTAAATATAAGCTAATAATAATGATAATACTAATATGATGAGCAGGAAATAACATATGTAACAACATAAACATTGAATTTAGCGCCATCAAACACAAGAAAATGAAACACATTTCCGAGACCTTGGTGGATTTGAACATGAGCTGGGCTGGATAATTGAGAAAAGCCAGAGAGCCCTTCGTGAGCCCGTTCGAGCCCATGAGCACGGCTGAGAGCTTCACATATGTCTTCCATGGATTCACCATTTGCTTGGTGGTAAATCCTTGAAGGTAAATTAGCAGAATATAAACCCACCCTTGCACAAAGGTGAAGTACCACCCATAACTGCAATCGGAAAAATTTTAAGCAATCATGAGGGGGAACTATATAAATTCAACCATCACGAAAAAACTGTGAACAGAATTTTACCTGAACTGGAGCCTGTTGTATACATATTCCTGAAAATGAGAAAAAACTGCTCATTACGAAGCTTAACGAACATTTTCGGAACAACAAAGGTGGTAGAAGATAGTATTCTATAAACAGTGAGGATCTATTCATTTTGGCTTGAATAAGCACTTAAACTGGAAACAAATATAATAAATCAGCATTCATAAATCATATTTTTTTCACAAAATAAAAAATGGGTTCAACGAATTATTTGACCCAGCTCTTTAATCATGCCAACAGAAATCACCTTCACCAAACAAACAACAAACAGATAGTCATAAATCGTAATCCACAGCAGCAGCTAGCCAATTACTCGACGAAAAACCAAACGAACCCAAATCAAAACTGCAAAAGTTCAACATTTTTTCTTTATCCCCCTCTTTCACACACCAAAAACCCCTCAAAAACACCAAAAATACAAAACGGGTCAAAATTACCTCACAGACGCCATTAACGAGATAGCCAAAGAAAAACCCAGAGGAACAAATCAAGAATTGCTGCCATCTGGGCCTCTCAGACAGCGATATTCCAAACAGAGAACGCCCCTCTTCATCACTCTTCATCTTTTTTTTCCCCTTTCTTCCTGATTTTTTTTTTTTTTTTTATCCCTCTTTTCCAAAATTTCCCACCTTATATTTCTCTCAAAAACACCCACTTAAAGAAGCCCACCAAAAAAAAGATCACTTTTTTATTCAACTACTAACAAAATAGGCCCTTGCATGTGCCGTGCTCGGTCGGGATCAAAGTTTCCATGAGGGGCTAATTTAAATGTACTGGTTTGTTGACTTCTGAAGGGGCTAAGGATTAAGAAGAGGCAAACAAAAAAAAAGATGAGTGAGTGAATAAATGAAATTTTTCATAAGGGAAAACGTATCGGCTCCTGTACGTTAACGATAAATGAATAAATGCTCGCGTACATACATACACATATAGATACATACATATTATACATTCCGTTTCTGCATCTACATGTTAAGGAGCCCCGGGAGAGAGATACGGAACGTTTTTATGAAAGAGATGAAAGGTTTCCGAGCATTTATGCAGCCTTTGTTTGGGCTGGGGAAAGGACGAGGGCGTGATTTCGGGTTTTCAGCAAGTTGAGGGGCTTGTTGGATAAAAGGAAAGCTACTAGGGGCCTTAGAATAATTTTAGCAAATTATATGAGATTTTGTGCTGGTGTGCCCCACCTAACCTTTACCGAGGTATTAGATGATACGGACGCATCTCACATGACCTGCATGTGTTGTGTGGTGACCTGGTTTGACTTGATTTGACTTTTTTAAATAAATAAAAGTTCAGTTAAGTTAAAATCTTTAATAAGTTGTTTACGAACAAGTCAAGTTCAAGTATTTCATTTATAACCATAAAAAAATTAACATGAGTTGTTAGCATGCGGACTCGGCTCGATTTATTTAATAAACGCAGTCGATTATTTGTTTGAGTTTGTGTTGTTTGAGTAAACGAACTAAACTAGTAAGAGTTATCATTTTAGAAGCATATCAACTCTCAATTGGAAGTGCATAGATGCCTTTTCAATTCGGACCGGTTCCGGTTCACCGGTTCAATCGGTTTTGGACTGGTTCGAATGGTTTTTTACCGGTTCTCCTGTATAGCGGTTTGAAGGTTCAAACCGGACTTGAATGAAGGTCGGTTTTTGGTCCAACCGGTTGAACCGGCCGATCCGATTCGATTTTCAGATCAATGGTTGCAATAGCAAATAGCCAATAGATAATCTATTAATTAAGGCCATTGGAGGTGCATTTATTGTTTATTGATGAACCGAAAGTCCAAACAAGTGAGAAGTGTAGGTAACAGATGCGTATGAGAAGTGTAGGTAACATAAAGGCCAATTTGAAAGTGTGCAATAATCTTTGAGAAAATTACACATCCTACTACTCCTTTGTTAAATATTATTAAAATTACGACACTTAGTAACTTAAATTGAAAAGTACGAAGTTTAATTAATTAAGGCTTTTGATTTTCTCTCTCCAAATAATTATTTAACCAACTCCTCTTCTTCAGTCGCCACCAACAGATTCAAGAAGCCCTACCCTAACCAACAACACCATGTTCGATCTAAATCTTAACCAAATCTCTTCTCAAGCCTCTCGTCAAATCTTCCCATCGTCTCTATCGGCTTTCTGACACCAGTTAGACGGCGTGGAGGGCAACATCCGCCGGCGCTTGAAAGCCGCCAACCCTGCGACCAGGCACGAGGAGTCCGAGTTGTCCACGACAAAGACGAGAGGGGCTCCATATATGTAAATTTCCCTGGTGTTGGGAATCCACTTTCAATAGCTTTTTTTTTTTTTTTTTTGTTTTATACATTAAATCTCGAAATATGTTGGCCGTATACGGAGGTCCGATTACGACGTTTGAGGATGCCGAGAAGGAGAGCGAATACGGTTACGTTCGCAAGGTCCGATTTCTGTTTCATGCTTGGTTTTACATGATAAATTTCATTGTGTTTTCCATTGTCTGCTGCGAGTTTACATCAGATGTTTGATTGATCTGTTTCTCGCTTTGTTCGTCTCTCGACCTGATAGAGGAGCAATCGAGAGTAGGGGTCCATGGTAGAGTAATTTTCGAGCACCAGGCCACTCCTGGGCGAGGTGAATTTTGTGGCCGGCGGAGAGCAACAACAGCGGTTGTGGGTGATAGCAATGCTGGCGACCAGAAATCCATCAGTTGGCGAGTCGAGCAGTTCTACCAACGAACGAGAGAGAAAAGTACATATGTTTACAATTTTGGTAAAGTAGATATATGTTGTTTATCTAATGTATAACTACATTCGATTTAGGTTTTGCAGACATTCAAAAGTGTGTATATGTTTATACCATTTCAGTAATGTTTATTTGTTGTTTACTTTATGTATAGTTATACATTCGATTTATATTTTGCATGTTTATATCATTTCAGTAATGATTATATGTTGTTTACCTTATGTATAGTTATACATTCGATTTAGATTTTGCAGTCATTAAGAAGTGTGTATTATGTTAATACCGTTTCAGTGTTTTTTATATGTTGTTTACCTTATATATAACTATACGGTTAATATTAGAGAAATTTCAAATCATGTTTATTTGATGTATATATACAGTATATCTAAACATATATTTCGTGATTATGGGACAATATATATACAGTATATATGATTTTTTAACAGAAAAGATTTCACGGAGAAAAACGTTGCACGTTTAATATGAAGAGAGAGAAACTTAATACCAATTAATAGCTGGCGGATTTTTAGCCCTATGCATTTAACATGAAGAGAGATAAACTTAATACCATGTGAATGAATTGGGGTTTCGTATATATGAAAAAAAGATCTCCTCTAAATCCAATCTATATATATATAATTACTAGCCAATAGCATTTAATAAAACCTAATTAATTTTACCTATGTGGCAATTTAATACTTTTCCCTCCAAAAACCGTTACTCTTTATGTATTTAATCTTTCATTTAATTATTAAATAATCAATACTAATCACATCAAAATTACAAAAATCATTTTAAGTTTTTTATTAGTGACAACTGACCATATAATGTGTTGATCGTACAATGTGATTAGATGTTATTATTGTGGTTATATTTAATTTTTTTTTTTTTACATTAGAAACGTATTTGAAATTCCTAAATAAATGATAAATAATTCAAAAAAAAGACATACCAAAATATACATTGCATCCAATCAGATAAACGCAATTTAAAAAAAAGAAGTAAATATTCCAACTTCTTTATTTGTAAATTTGGCATGCAAAAAGTGAAAGAAAATTAATTAATCATTATATACATATAAATAACTCACAATACTTTATTTACATCTGTGCAAATGCACTGGTCGAATACTAGTTTTGATGAAAAGTTATTAAGAATGTATATATGTAAATATTTTATTATAGGGGCACCATATATGTAAATTTCCCATAATCTTTGAGAAATTTACTAGGCCAACGGAGTAGGTGTTGAAGCCCATTGGGTTCCTCATACTCTACTAATTGGACCACTTAGATTCTACCTAGCCCAGTAGTCTTGAATTATTGTGATGACTAAAAAACTCAATATGAAATGAAACATCAAAACATAATAAAGAACCAAGCATGAAATCATCTTTACCAAATCACATGAATTATGAATTAAATAAGGTTAAATCAACACTGACCTGAATTATTTACACATTACACTATTCATATAATTCTCGATACAACAGTTATATCGACACATAAAGTCGCGTCATATAAGCTCACTCGTTATGTTCATTTGTTGAGAAAATCGACCAAAACATCACCGATCAACTTGTCAAATATCTCGGCCGCAAGCTCCATCGAGACCTCCTCTTGTTCTTGTCCAAACTTGTTCCAATACACTCCATTCTCCATATCCTTAACATAAGCTTTCCTCTTATCTCCAACCTCCCACAAATAGGACTCGTGATCGTATTCTCCGATAATCCAAGATTTTGCCATCTCCATTAACTCATCATGAAACTCGGGATCATTAACCTTTCCACTTATAGAGAGCTCGTGCACGAAAAAGTCCAATATCATATTTTCGATGGCGTTCTGACTAATTATTAGACCGTCTTCTTTGATGTTGTTCAATAATCGTCTGGCTTTCACATCGGCTACATTTGTTCCCTCGGCTCCAAAACCATCTTTATGAGTCGGATTTGGTTTCGTGGTGTTCTTGAATTCTTGAATTCGCTTTGTGATCATGTATTTTGCCCCTGTATTGACGTAACATAACAATTATTCGATAAATGAGGTTAATTCATTACATGAAAAACATATAGTATAATTGCTAGATGTATATTTCAAGAATATATATAAACAATAAGTGTAGTCAAGAGGATTTAGTTAATTAAATCCATACTTCCAAAATTGGCAAGAGCTTGATGCAAAGGAGACATGGAAGATTCTGGAACTTCTTGAAATGGGGAACCATCGAGAACTGAAACAGGGCTTTGCTGCTCACAATCTTCCATAGACCAATCCCCCTACACATGGCAAAATTTATTTATTTATCTCTTATATTAATTTCACCATATATTTCTTTTGACCAAGATTTCACATATAATTAGTATATATAAAAACAAATTCAATCAATTTAATTTAATTGGTACGTACGGTAGTCTACCAACAGTCAGGAGACAGCACAATCATATAAAAAGTACACCATCAATATTAAAATGCGTTACCTAATTATTTATACATATCATGCATCAATTATTTATAGCATCAATAATGCAATTAAAATATCTAAAACAATTTACCTTGTTGTTCATCAATAATGCACCATTTGTGCCAAGACAGCATTTTTCAGCTAATTGCTGATCTTCGTCATCATCATCTTCATCGCCTCGAAAAGTCAAATCCTCCGCCAAGTCGCGGAACGACCTCCACCGCAATATGTCCTTGACTTTGACTTTGACTTTGACTTCATCCTCGGTCGATTTTCCTGAATCGCCCCTCGACAAATCCATGGATGGAGGAGATTTCGCGATCCTCAAGAACTTAATCACTTTATGGAAAGCCGATAATCTTATGGCGGCAGCCTTTCTCGACCAGCTTCTGACGAGCAAGAACTCGGGAGACCGCTCGTCGTTTGACTTTGAGGATGCCGTTGACTTGCATCGACCGTTTTTAGAGTACATTAATCGGAGCTCGTCCGAATATTGATAGCTATTGTCGTCTCGGAGAAAATCTTTGAGCAACATGGGTCGACACGAAGAACCTTGTTGAAGCATTTGGAAATTTGAGGTTTCATGGGTTGATGAGGCCATGATGAAGGAGATTTGTGTGGCTTTGGTTAGAGATAGAAAGGAATTTTGAGCTGCAAAATTAGAAGTTTTTTTTTTTGTTTTTCTTTTGTTTTTGGATTTAGAGTAAAGTTTAGTAATTTTGTGAGGTGCATTTATAGGAGACGAGTGAACATTGTACATGGAGAAAATGACAAAACCGCATGCGTACGTAATAGCATGGATGCTTCTAACCACCGAATTTTGGTATTTTATTGTGATTAAGAAAAAGTAGGTGTGTAAATTAATCTTGTTTTTTGGTCAATGAGTAGAAAAAAATACTTTTATATTGTGTTTGCTGCATAATTATTTTAGATACCTTTAGAGTAGGTTTGTTTATTAAAATATACATACTCCTATACTTAAAATATAACCTAATTTTAACTCAACCTCAATATTTTTAATATTATCAAAATAATTTAATAATATTAATCAATTATTTTTACATATCACATTAACTTTAATTTACTATTCATCCGATCACATAATTTTAACTATCTATCACTTCCAATCAGTATCTCTTACTTTGTTAAAATATCACTTGTGAGTTGTCCAAAATCTTTTATACAGAAAAAATAAACCTAACTTATAAGTCTAATGAATTACTCATTCTACCACCAATTGGTTTTAGAATGGAATCCCACTAATGCCCATCTAGGTTCAACCTATTTTGGTGCACTTCACGTCCGTAAGATCGCAATCGTCAACCCTGTTTCTTCAACTTTTACATTAAATCAATTTTAATCATTTATTTTCAAAATTATTAAACTCCACATACATTAGTACACTTATGACGTAGTCCAAAGAAGAAAGATTCAAATTTATTCGGACAAATTTATAATTAGATTATAGACATATGACGTTGGTTTCACATGAAAATAATGCTGTCATGAATCTGCGAGGAGCTTGTCTTGATTTTGTTCCTTAATTAATTTTGGATTAGCCGATAAGTACACGTTTATGGATTGAGTTGATGTATTAATTTTTGTCTGCATCTTTAGAGTGAGAGATACGATTGGATTTATAAATGAGTTCGATCCGATTAACCAAATTAAATAAATAGTTAACAGATTTCGTCATCAATGTGCCTTTCTCTGTTTACGAGAAAGATTATGGTCCTAGCGATTAAACTTGATCACAACTCGTGCAGAAATCGTATTTAAAATACAGTTACAGATAGGCATTGGCTATACAAAATTATGGTCAAGAATGGGGATGCAACGATCGCGAGCGCTCAAGTCAAAGCTCAACTCAAGTTCGAGTTTGATCGAACTCGAGTCGAGCTCAAGTCCATATTTTGTCTTGTCTATTAGAATAGGTGCTTAATTGTAATTTTACATTTCCAGTTAAAAAATTTCAATCCGAACTCGAGCATTTTGATTTTGAGTCGAGCTCGAGCTATTGTAATTTTTTATGAGTCGAGCTCGAGCCTCAAAAATCGAGCTCGACGAGCTCGAGCTCGAGAATCTAAAAAAAAAAAAAAAAATCAATCCGACTCGATAAGATCAATGCTCGACTCGGCTCGGCTCGTTTACAGTAGTCAAGATTGACATATATCCTTATCATTTTTTTTTTTCATTTTTTTTTGGCCGTATAATATGATGAGATCCCAATAAAGTCACTATATATTACACTTTAAATTAAATCAAATCAAGAGATTTTCTCTTACATTTTATAGTGCATCATATATAAAGTTTTTTCACTAAATCGAATCAAGAGATTTTCTCTTACATTTTATAGTGCATCATATATAAAGTTTTTTCACGAATACAACTCGTTACGACATGTAAAAATGTTTAAGATATACTCATTTATGTACTTAAACAAGTCGACTCCCACCAGCTAATCAAACTCATTTGTTAAACAATCCATGTTCGTTTAATGTTTTATGTTTATTAAACGAGTCAAAGTGAACTCGAATGTTTATTAACTAGAATGGGCTTCAACATGAGCTACTTGGCTAATTGGCTTGTCTAGACTCGAAGAACATCTCTAGTTATGGATATGTCTAACGCGTCGAGTAGATTCTAGACCAAAATTGGCCAATAAACTTTAATTAGTAATTGTGATTTTGATTCAGTTTGCTTATATATTTCTTAAAACACCAGTTCAGACCGGTGGTTGGATTTTTTTTTTTAAAAAATATTTCATTTATACATATCTTGTTTTATGTTATTATATGTACACTACTATATACAAATTATTTATGTATATATTATATAGTAGTATTTTGTTGTATTTTAAAGTAAATTTGGGCAAATAAATGCGTATTTTTTTTTTTTTGCTAAAAAAATAAAATTGGGCAAATAAATGAAACAGTCCAATGCAATTGATGGGCCTACTTATAAAGTTACATTGTTATCACAAATTTGATTGTGCATATTTGGGGAAAGATCAAATGTATATTTCTTTGTCCACCTGATTGCCCACAATCGGTCGGTGACCGTACACGTGGCAATCTCGGATTGGATTCCCTCACGTGCAGCTGCTGTTGGGTACAAAATGAAGAGTTGCTGGTTCATGAATCATGTGTACGTGATCATAACGAATCCTATGCTTTTTATTTGCTTTTATATTTATTGTTGTGGGTTGATTTCATTTCTTCAAAAACTATTGGGCCCATATCATATCATATCTGGACTCGAGTCCGGTGAGGCGATGGCCCAAAACAATTCATCAGCCCATATCCACCCACAACGGTAACTTCCTTGCTGGTTAAAAAATAAAATATATAAAATAAATATAACAAAATATTGAAATTCAGTTCTTTATCGCCTGTTTGTACTCTCTCGCCCATTCAATGGTGTCATCCTTGAGTACAGTGAAAACTGTAGAATGCCCATTGCTATGATCATTCAGTAATCATCCATTTTTTTTTCTTTATTTTATTTTCCTTTTTTTTTTTTCTATTATTCTGAAATGGGCGTTGGTGGGCACTTCTGGGATTTGCTCAAACCCCACGCTCGATTTGAAGGGTTCGATTTTCTGAGGAACAAAAGGGTCGCCGTGGACCTGTCGTACTGGATTGTGCAGCACGAGACCGCCATTAAAGGGTTCACGAGGAAGCCCCATATTCGTCTGACTTTCTTCCGAACCATCAATCTTTTCTCCAAGGTACAACTCCAGTTCTCGCTTTTTTTTTTCTCGGTCCGGAGGTACAAGCGCTTTAGTGCATGTATTATTGATGCTTTAATATCTTTTATGAAAGATTTATTGACTGTGAGGAAGAGCAGAACGAGTTAGATAGATGATTTGTATAAATTGCGGCCCTTTGTTCGTTTATTATCTGTGTTTTCATTCTTCGTTTTCCGAGCGAGTTTGTTTAAGTGTTTTATGTTTATAAGTACTTTCCTGATGTCTAGTTGTACGCTTATGATTTATTGAACTTTTATTAAAAAGGGTTTTTTTGGATGGCTTTCGACTTCCTGATTCATTAACCAATTCTAGGTTTGAGTGTGATTCTTGTTTTCTGTTTTTGTGTTTTGCTGAAAATAAAAATTGGTAGTTATGTGCTTAAATTGATGAGTTTTGGACTATAAATACAGTTTGGAGCATACCCTGTATTTGTACTCGACGGGACTCCTTCACCATTAAAGTCTCGGGCAAGGATAATGAGGTTTTTCAGAGCATCCGGTGCTGACCTGTCGAGCTTGCCGGAGGCAGAGGAGGGTGTCTCGGTGGAAAGGAACAACTCATTTAGGAAATGTGTTGAAGAATGTGTGGTTAGTCAGAGTGCTCTTGCTGTTACTTTTTTCTGCAATTTTGTAACTTGCATATTTCTGTTTTAGAGTAATTCTTTCTTTCTCCTTTTCTTTTACTTCCTGTGTATGCGTGCGTGTAGTTGTGAAATTTTTTTGTCCTCTGTGATTGGGTTCATTGAGGATAATCTACAAGACTTGCCTTATATAGTTATCGTTATATTTTGACAGGAATTGCTCGAACTGCTTGGTATGCCCGTCGTGAAAGCAAAAGGAGAAGCTGAAGCCCTTTGTGCACAGTTGAATAGAGAAGGGCATGTCGATGCTTGCATCACTGCTGATAGCGACACATTTCTTTATGGTGCACAGTGCGTAATTAAGAGATTCCAGCCCAATTCAAAAGTCGGTATTTTTTTCCTCTTTACAATATTTGATCTCTAGGCCTTGTTATCTTCGATTAATCGCCCTGAACTGCTTTTATTACGTTCGATGTATCTCCCGTTCTTTCAAAAATAAGTACATTTCTTTCTCACTGTTTTCAGTAAATGGTGTAGTTTCAGGAAATCGTGTGGTTTTCAGTAAATCATTTCAACCTTATGATTTTCATTTGGTCACTTGGTGTTGGATTCATTTTTCCCTTTTCCTTCCTCATATTATTCGTAGTTTTCTGTTTGCTCGAGTAGTGCTTTCCCCATGTTATTTCAAATTTTCAATGACCAACAAATAACATAATTTTCTTGTTTGGACAGGAGCCACTAGAATGCTACCATATATCTGATATCGAGACAGGTCTCGGGCTCAAAAGAAATCATTTGATAGCTATTTCTTTGTTGGTCGGTAATGACCACGACTTAAATGGTATAACAGGAATTGGGATAGATAAGGCCGTCCGATTTGTAAAATCCTTTGATGAAGACGAAATTTTGAACAGGTTTTTGTTAAGCTAACCCTCTTATCTGTTGCATATTCATCTCATATCCATTATGATGAACGATCATCTCCTTTTTTTTTTTT